TTGCAAAAAGCACTTGAAAATGATTCTCTCCGAAGAACACCTCATATCCTAACAAACCCCCTAACATCTACCATGCACCTCTTCTTACTCTATGACCTACTATCTTTATGACATACCGTCATTTCCAGACTATTAGGCACACCCGAATATAGGCACACGCACCCGGTAAATTTAAAAAGAAAGATAATTGTACATATATAGGTCACACTTCTCTATAAGCCTCAGGAGTCCACATTGTAACATGGGATATTTTTTTTTACTTTTAATTAAATAAACGAACAGTGCCTGTAACACGGCTGGTTACACATGAGCTCTTTCCTGTTTCTGCACCCCGACCACAGTTGGAATGCACAGGGGAGACTTAGTGATCTGCTCCAGGGGTGAAGCTAACATTAGCTCTCTTCACTTTGTGCTTGTCCAGAGCAGAGGTAAAAACAGAAACAAGGAAGTTGTGGTCTTTATTATCAGACACTCCGATCACAACAACAGAACATAAACATAGTTTTAAGGAAGGAAGTGAAAGAAAGTCAACTACTTGTCACTGTGACACAGCACACTACCAAATGTGACCTCTGCTTTTAACCCATCACCAACGTGAACAGTGGGCAGCTTTAAGCGCCCAGGGAGCAGTGTGTGGGGACGGTGCCTTGCTCAGAGCACCTCAGTGGTAACTTTGCAGCTGGTAGACTCAAACCTGAACCCAAGTCCGCTTCCTTAACCATCAAACCACCACTGCCCCTGTATAACCAACTGACGCTTCAACATGACAGGGCTCAAACTGCTCTCAACTTTAGCTACCGTTCTCTCTCTCTCTCTACCCCACTCACATATACGCACACAGCCATTCACAGACAGACATACGCTACTAGTATAACACACACAGTAGCCTACCAGAAAAGTCATTGATCGCTAGCGGTACGAACTTCGTTAGCCTGTATAAATCCATAAATTAGCCGCATCATTGTTTAAGGCGCAGGGTTCGAAGCGTGTGGAAAAAAAGCATGAATTTACGGTGCCGTATTCTTATGATATTACTATTCTTCTTGCTCTATGACCTACTATGACTATAACGGTACTTTTACTATGTATTATCATTTATTATTATTTATGTATTTTTGTATTTTGCATGTTTACAGTGGCTTAATTATTGATTGACTGACTCAAATTGTAAGTCACTTTCGATAAAAGTGTCTGATAAATGTATTGTGATGTAATGTAAAGTGGAGTACTGCTAAAATCATAATGTACCTGTGTATCTGGTCCTTTAATGGATTTGGTCAGGTCTTTCACAAAAGTCTTCATTTTTATAAAGTCATCTTCAGTTACACTGCCTGATCCATCCAAAAGATATGCAATATCTGCTTCGGCTCGGCAGACTGTTAAAACCAGGAATAAAAAAAAATTGTGAAATAAAATATGACCCAAAACAATTTGACATTTGAACGCATATTCATTATTGAGCAAAAATGCTCTTGACAATGAAATTCATTTAGTATCTTATCAGAATTATGTTTACATATTGACATGGATGTTTGCAACGTTTACCAGGAATGGACGAAGGCACGGGGGGTTGATTCCTATTAGAGCGGTCAATCTGAATGCAGGCACCATTCAACATGGTGATACTTTTGCAATCCTTTGGGATGGTTGGTCCACACACCTGAAGGAAAGCACTCAATCAGAAACAATGCTTATGGTGAGTGTGGTTGTTTTGCAGAAGATACAGAATGAAGCAGTGCAGGAATAAGGCAGTATAACAACAATTAAAGAGGAAAATCAGTTCAATTAACCCTTTCATGCATGGCGCTCACTACAGTGGACAGCTATTAAAATGTCATTTTCTATGACAAGAATAGGTTTTGATGGCAGTGTTGCATATGTAAGTTTCTACAGTGGACGCCTGAGAATCCACTGTAATCCACTTTTATCTATTTTGTATCTGTACAAACCACTGTATGAATTGCTGCCACCTAGTGGCTTGAGGCTTTTTATCATTCAAGCATTACAGCAGTGGAACAAATGTATTTTTAGGTTAAAATACAAAACAAAATCTTAATCTTAAAATCTTACTTTGACACGAAAAATAGTCCCATAGTCAACTACCTTCAGTGAACCCTAGTGAAGCATAATTATTATAACTATTTATATATATGGAAATATGTAAAGCATGCTGCACTCCCGTATCTCTCTTTCAGTGTGTGAACTGCACTATCTGTACCTCACACCCACCACCAAGTATGAGTTGAACAGGAAACAAACAAACCGGAAAGATAAAGAGATAAAGATGACACATTCGTTACCATAGTGTTATCTTTCGAAGGGTCACTTGTCATTGTCAAACCTAGGGACATGTTGACTGCAAACTCAGGCTCTATTTAAAAAACAAAATTACATATATTAATATAATTAATTTTCTCTATTATGAAAAATAAAATAGAGCGGAACCTCAGTTGTCGAACGCCTCCCATTTTTTTTATTAACAATTTTTAATTTACGAACAACATTTTTAACGAAATACTGCCCCAACTGTACCATAATTCGGTTGCCGAACAAGCTAACGATACCACAACTGGTGTCTGATTTTGTTATATAATAGTTATACTATTTCTTCTATTATTTCATTTCACAAATCACCATGGGTAAAGAAAGGTAGTGAGAACAACAATACAAGTGACGAGAGATTGTGTTCGTGTTACCGATCCGGCTTTACGGTACGGCTTAGCAAAGTCGTCGATTTGTACCATCATTAAGAACAAGGAAGCAACAAAAGAAGCTAAGGTTGTCAACGGAGTGACTGTGATCACCAAGCAAAGATCTCAGACAGTACAAAAAGTGGGAAAGTTGCTTGTGATTTGGATCCACAAAAAGCAGTCGGGCTGCGACAATATTTCGGAGACGATCATTTTTGAGAAAGCAAAGCGAACCCTTACACAAAATACTGTTGAAAATGTTTGAATAAGCAGTCATCTGGGGGGGGGGGGGTCCAGGAATGGACCTTTAAGTTAATTTTAAGTTTGAAAACCGAGGTTCCACTGTACTGTTAAACTTTTTTTTTTTTTTTTTACTGGCAAATATTTAGGAGTGTAGAGAGTGTTCTACCATGAAGTTGCATTAGTCGGCAGGAGAGATCAGAGCACCGATATACTTGTCCTCTTCTTACTGGTGAATACTGTTCTAACGGGGCACTGACGAGCAAGCTGGAGAGATATAAAGCAGTCCACATGTGATGAAACTTTTTTTTTTTATTCTTCAATGTGAATTTAGAAGGGGTGTTAGATATGTATCAGACTTACTCTGACTTCCTTTGAACCACCTGGTATCCAAACCCTGCGGCAGAATTCCTAAAGGACTTCCACGGCTTGGGATCGATGTTGAAGGAAAATCCTGCAGTAAGTGCTTTAGGGACACAGAAGGACTGCATCAGAAAATCAATCTTCTTTGATAAATGACATCAAATGATGACAAATGACGAAATTCACCCTGTTTCTGGCATGATTACTGCGTGTTATACTAGTGCTAATATGTGCTAATGTTAGCTTTACCCCCGGAGCAGATCACTAAGTCTCCCCTGTTCATTCCAACTACGGTCGGGACGCCGAAGCAGGAAAGAGCTAACGTGTTACGGAAACTGTTTGTAAAAAAAAAAAGTATTTATTTGATTAAAATCTTTCTGTGTAAATATCCCATGTCACAACGTGGACACCTGCGGCTTATAGAGAAGAGCAGCCAATATATATTTTCTTTTTAAATTTCGTGGATGCAGCTCATATTCAGGTGCGCTCAATAGTCTGGAAATTACGGTATATACCAGGCGTGGGCAAACTTTTTGATTCGCGGGCCACAGGTGGCCCTAAAATTGAACAGGGGGGCCGGGTCAGGAGCAGAAAGATAGATAGATTACATGTAAAACTCATGAATAAAGGATAATTAGCTAAAATGCTTTTATCATTTTCTACGCCATCTATTGGGGAAACATGGGTATTGCAGGGAAAAGGCAGAAGTCTTATGATATTATAAATTATATAATTTGGAAAACGTTTGGCGGGCCGGATTAAAAAGATGAACGGGCCGCATCCGGCCCGAGGCCCTTAGTTTGCCCATGCCTGGTATATACAGTATATGTAGTGAAGAAACAGACATTTGTCCTTGTGGATAAATGTATTATTTTATTCATTAAGTTTACAAAAGAATTCACGAAGGAGGCTGAAAAACAACTGTATTATTTCAATAACACATAATCTATTCATGCACTGCCTATGGTGCTTGGTCCCCCTATTCAGGCCACCTAGTGGTGGTTTTTTTTCTGACTGGTAATTGAGACACAACTGTGTCATATTACTGGCTTTATTTCCCCCCTGTGTTGGACAATATCATTAAAACATTTATTCACTTTTTTTTATCTACATGGTCTGACATAAATCAAAATATGTTGATGTATATGTAAATATACTGTATGTTAATCTAAATGTCTTCTGATGTCAGAACTTGGTCATTTTGGACTTTTCAATGCATTTCAGTGGGTCAGATATCATCCGTTAGAAATGTGCGGTTACAACACGTCAGATGAGTCCCCGGAACGGGCAAAGCCGGCTCGGGTACATTATTACTTTAATCCTGAAATGTATTTAAATGCCTAGAAAACTTGACCTAAAACGACAACAAAAAAAAATGTTTCTTACCTGATAAAAAGACTGTGGTTTTTATTATCCAGTCCATAGTAACACTTGCGTGTTAAAAAGAATCAAACATTTAGTGTGTTTTCTAGATCCCTAGATGTGAAGAAGTTGTAAAAGAAGCAACTTCTGTCCAAGAGGAAGAAGTAAAGAGTTATATGTGGAAGTTCAAACAGAAACAATTAAAGGAAGTGGTGTGGGAGGGTTTAAAACAGTTGGCCTTCCATACGTACACTTACTGTTTACACTAATTACAATGTAACATCTTTTTTTTTTTTTCATTAATAACAACATGTTTTCATCGGCTTTTTCCTGTATATTTTGTCAAAAAAATACATTTTTTTGAGCATTTTTCAATTATTATTATTATTATTATATATTATTATTATATATATTTTAAACAGAGCTGCATGCTCATCACTCCAACAGTTGTGAGCATCCAATGACAATGGTTCTTCCTGTCTACAAGATGAAAATGTCTCCTGGGACAAGCAGGGGTTGTACAATCCAAACCCAGACGGTATAAAAATAAAATGTCTCATTTCTTCTTTAAGATCACTTCCTTTGTGCTCATCACTTCCTATGTGCTCACTCGACTCAACGTCAACGCTATTCTTTTACTACTCCTGATGAGTACGCTTACAATCAACAAAACCGTGATTATAGAAACAAAAATCTCTAGAGGAATGGAAAAGGCCTTCAAAACATGTCAGGTTGAATTTAGTGGACATTTCTGCCATACTGTTAAGTGCCGTCAAACGTATTTTTTTAATTGTCCAAACTCTGCTGCTGGTTTCTGCCTACAGGTCTAGAACAGGAAATTGACATGTGCTATTGTTACCACCTCTCAAAACCAAGCCGTGTGACCACCTTCCTCTCCAAATTTCACCGTTTCTCATGAAGTGATAAAGCATGTGTTGTTATGTAACACCCCCCCCCCCCCAAAAGGTTTTGAAGCTACGCTACTAGGTTCGCGTGTGGCCTTTGACTAGTACACTGTTTCGCCCTTCACTCTAAAGGTCAAGAAATTGACAAGGGTCAAGAAAAGGTTAAGAATTAGTACCCCATGTTTCTCTGGGTTGTATTTCTACAGGCTGGATGGCAATGCTGTGAGATGTCTGCCCTCCCCTGTCTGTGTCCGTGTGTGTGCCTGTCCAGGAAGTAGTTTGCTTTGCAGAAGCTTTAACAAAATTCGACTCTTGTATAAAATCTCAAGTAATCTACTGGGTTTTCAACAACAGGGCAAGTGTGCAGCAACAGAAACACCTTTTTTTTGTGTGTGTGTGTGTAAGTAACTCACACAGATGTTGCTGGGTTGTTCATTTCTTCAAAGAGGGCAAACTAAGGCCCGTTCAGCTTTTTAATCCGGCCCGCCAAACCTTTCCAAATTATAGAATATATTTATATTATCATTATACTTCTGCCTTTTCCCTGCAACACCCATGTTTCCTGACATGGAAAATGATAAAAAGCATTTTGGCCCTTAGATAAAATGATAAAAAGCATTTTGGCCCTTATGCATGACTGTTTCATTAGGTTGAGAACAGCTGCACTTAAAAAAAAATGACACGTTCTAATGTTCTTCCATTTATTTTCAATCTTTCATTCTGGAAGCGTAGCTCATCAAAGTTCTTTTAGCTGATCTGTATCTGACCACACTTCCTGTACGTTACATCAAAGGTGGAGAAAGAAGGCATGCCACACTAATCAAACCCACCATGCATACCTCAAAAATGAAGGCATCAAACCCACCATGCATACCTCAAAAACTTTAGCCCAGCTCCAGTGCCCTCTCCTGGTCAGAAAGAATTCAAACAACTTCCACGCCCAGATCTAAATAGATCATTCAGAGTGTCCAACGCTGTTAACCCCAAATCTAATGTTTTCGTTCTGTGGAAGGAGGCCAGAGAACAGCCAACCTGCTACATAAAAGGTCAGAAAATGCTCATTTCTGACGTGTCAGTGTTGGTTCTGCTTCAACTTCCCTGAAAGCAAAAAAATGTCAAAAAAGAAACGGGAAACGTGTATTACACACGCACATGCAAGTGGTTTCCCATTCATTTCAGTCAGCACCAAAGACATTTAAGCACCCCATAAAACCACACATTTAACAAAGATAATATTTGGATTTGACATGCACCTGCTGGATATTAAACTGAATTATAATAATACCAGTCACTATTCAAGTACATTAATGTAGCAAACTGAGTTCTCTTCAGAGTTGGTTACTCGCTTTGTTCGCTGGACACTGAAGCTACTCTTTGCCCTTTCAGTGACTGCTCACTCCCAGCTACTCCCGGCCCTAGCCTATCTGAATGTCACAGACCAGCTCTGGTTGCATCCTGTTCTATTTATAGCAGAACAGCTGAAATGTGAGGGGTCACAATAGGAGGATAAATACACGGGTCAGCAGTCTGCAGGGGTGTCGCAGACGAAAGCCAGATCTCCGTCCCTCTCACAGCTCTCCTCTGAACTCAAAGGTAAAAGCCAAACATCGCAATATTATATCAAGCCGTGCCTGCATCGCTTTCGTTTTCTGTATTTTCTCTAGTCGTACTTGACGGTGGGTTGGAAGTGCTAGCTTTATCTACATTTTTAAAATGAGGGGTAAAAAAAAAAAACCCAAATGTATTTCATTGGAAATGTATTGAGACATATGCTCGTCTTTTAACACAGCTAGATGCCGTATATATTTCTATAGGTCTTTTTAGCTTTTAGGGTTTTTCCAAATGACCTCGAATTGCACCACACGCACAAGCTGCCCTAATGACATTAATAGCATTACCAATGGCTACTGGTGTCAGCAATTTGGTGTGTGAGATCAGCTCTGAACAAAGCCGCTTTAGATTATTTCTTAAGTTACGCCCCCGGGCTTCACGTACCACGGCAGAACTGGTTATAAAGCCCATGCTCTGGTGGTTGCTACATTTTTTTTCCACAAACTGTTGTGTCAACACCGAATCTTGCATCCATCCAGCAATTATGCAAGTTTCAAACTGTATCGTCAGCAGTGACTCACCAAATCGCCCTTAAAAGAGCCCATGATCTCTGACAGAATGTGAGGTGTGAGGCAGCGACATTTTTATTTTATTCAATGTCTTTTAGCTCAGGCAGGCTACTGTCACTCTCTGGTCCTACGTACCAAGTATATTTAGTTTTGCCTTTTGATAATGAACGAAACCACCAGGGAACTAAGTAGAGTAAATACGAACATGTGGGGGTTGGTGGGTGGTGTAACAAAGGTCAAGGATAAGAGGCTTGAAAATAGAAAAGGTCAGTGACATGCTTGTCATAATTTTCCACGAGTCATAAGATTGTGGAGAGGACACGTCAGGAGAAGGGAGTAGAGGGCTCTCTGACACCGGATCCCCTTGTGTTGTCACGCGTTATGCAGACAAACTAGTGTGTAACCACAGCACATACTGTAACATGCTTTGATACCGGGCTATAGAGAGACAGTAAAATGTCAACTGTAAAAAGGATACTGGTCTTACAACACATTTGCATCATTGTCACCCTGGAAAGGGGAACACAAAAAAAAAAACAAACACAAAAAAAAACAAAAACGTGTTCACTTTGATAACACTCTTTGAATCTATTCTTTGGATGCATTGCCATCTCCTTGCTCTCTGACCTGTTGAAGTGTGGTCAGTGACATTCATTTAAGAAACAAACAAACAAAACAACAACACAAAAAAGGTCATCCTCAACGCTGTCCACACAGATCACAGGCCATTACTTTATTTGGACGCAACCGTTGTTGCTGCACTAGCAGCTAATGTAATCATTCAGAATTGCATTCTATTGTACGCTCAAGGGCAGGTCTACAGTATTTCAGCACTTCCTTCTACATGATTACAAACCTTAACCTTTTAGCCAGGAATCGACTGAACTTTTAGCCTTCTCTTTCTTTCTCTGCCTTATGTTGTTCTTGCTTCGACTTTATTCTTCTCACCTCCAGAGCCAAGATGCCTCATGCATATCCCTTCCTGACTCCTGAGCAGAAGAAGGAGCTCAGTGATATTGCCCAGAGGATCGTTGCTACCGGCAAGGGAATCCTTGCTGCCGATGAGTCCACTGGTAAAGATTGACAGAAGAATGGTTATGAGCTAAGCACAAGTTAGCACAGTACAGAAGTACAGTGTTCCCTCGCTATATCGCGGTTCTCCTTTCAAAATGTCGCGAGTTTCGGGATATAAAAACATAAACCTGACCTAAAAAAACCAGTAGAAATATAGCAAAAATAAACTAAAAGCCATGAGCATGCTCTTCTGTTCCTCACGCTGATTGGCTCTTGCATCTCTCATAGTACGTATTGTACGGTGTTGTAAGGTTTGTGCTCTTGTGTTTGGTGAACGTTGACCCTAATTTAACGCCCTACGATGCTTCTTAGGTTTCTGTTACGAAACCTAAGAAGTAATGTATTTTACATTGTTTTTCATGGCGGTGTATTTCATTTATTTACATAATATGTATGTCTTATTATATTTCCGTTCTACCCCTCTACTGTGCATATAATTGTGTGGGAAATGGTAATACAGTCTAGGGAGGTTTAATAACAGTGTGGGGGGAGGTTCATGCAGGCTAAATATATACGTAAATAATATTATGAACTATCTTGCCGCGGATTCTCCCTTTTCGCGGTGGGTCTTGGAACACAACTACCGCGATAGGAAAGGGATCACTGTAATCCTTAAGACTTCCGGAAAATCTCTTCAGAATGTTAAAAAGTCATAAATATAAGAAAAGTATGTTTTTTTTTCTACTTAAGTTATAATAAGGTATGTAGCCATTCAGGTAGTGGCTGTTCTAAAAAGTTCTTAAATGTCCCATCAGTTATCCATACAAAAGCGTTGACAGCAATTTACAAAAATCTACACTGGACCTTGGAGAATAATCAATAAATAAAATAATGGCAGGATACATTTTCCCGGGCTCTAGATATTGCCATTCACATTTCTCAGCAATAAAACAAGCAAATAAGCAAGACATTCTTTAGTGCACGGTGTCTCGTGCATACAGGTCAAGACATCACTTTCCTTTTTTTCATTACTGATTTGGCGTTGGTGTTCAGTTATCCAGTCAATTTAAATCTCAGAAACATCTTCAGCTGGTGAAAAGCTTGTTCCATTTCCCAAACTTTTTTGCCTGCACACGCCCTTCTATATAACAACTGCACCCCCAAAGTGACAGTTTGCCCACCCTGCACTAAACCATTAACATTAAGCAGCACAGTTTAAGCTGTTCTCAGCTTCCCTATGTCTCATTCACCTTCAGGCAGTGTAGCCAAGCGCTTCCAGAGCATCAATGCTGAGAACACGGAGGAGAACAGGAGGTTGTACCGCCAGCTTCTCTTCACCGCTGATGACCGCGTCAAGCCCTGCATCGGTGGAGTGATTCTCTTCCATGAGACCATGTACCAAAAGACTGATGATGGCAAACTCTTCACCCAGTTCTTGAAGGACAGAGGCATGGTGGTAGGAATCAAGGTCGACAAAGGTGTTGTTCCTCTGGCTGGAACCAATGGCGAGACCACCACACAGGGTGAGTGGTCAAGCGGCATGAAAATAAAAAATCCTGATGTTTGGCATCTCTGTCCTAAAATTATGACTTTTCTGTAGGCCTTGATGGACTTTATGAACGTTGTGCCCAGTACAAGAAGGACGGTGCTGACTTTGCCAAATGGCGCTGTGTTCTGAAGATCACTCCAACAACTCCCTCAAGACTGGCCATCATCGAGAATGCCAACGTTCTAGCTCGCTATGCTAGCATCTGCCAGATGGTAATCCAAATCTTAAACGTTGTCTAGATATTTTGTTACAAAGCCATAGGGTTATATGTCAGTGCTGTATTAATGTCTCGCTCGTCGGTCCTATTAGCCACAAGCTTTAATAAATGTTCCTGATTATCTGTATATTTCTTAACAAAGTTAATGCACATACTTTCCGCTTTTCTCAGCACGGCATTGTGCCCATTGTTGAGCCTGAGATTCTTCCTGACGGTGACCATGACCTGAAGCGTTGCCAGTATGTCACTGAGAAGGTCCTAGCTGCTGTCTACAAGGCCTTGTCTGATCACCATGTCTACCTGGAAGGTACCCTGCTCAAGCCCAACATGGTTACTGCTGGACACTCCTGCTCACACAAGTACAGCAGCCAGGAAATCGCCATGGCAACTGTCACTGCCCTGCGCCGCACTGTGCCCCCTGCTGTTCCCGGTGAGCTCGACGCTGCACATATTTCCCTAAACTTGCACTTGCAATGATTGTGTTATATAGTTTCGTGAAAAAACATTTCATTAAATACAAAGCATATTTAACTCTTGTCTATGAAGATTCTCAGTCATCCAGGTCATGGTCAAGTTAAAAAAAAAGTTCTGTTAGGCAACTGGTCGTGAATTTTCTAAAAGAAGACGTTTCACCTCTAATCCAAGAGGCTTCTTCAGTTCTGATATTAAACTCTTATTGGCTTGCTACAAAACAAAATATATATTGCACAATTGTAGTGGATTCCTATAGAAACTGAGCGCCTAAGTGCTGTGCCGCTGTATTGGAGGAAGTAGCACAATTCCAAAGGCCCAAAACATATTAGAATATTATATCAAATTATTCTTGTAGTGGGTCGTGCATCACATAATGCATTCTGCACAGTATGTAGAAATATATTCATGTTCTTGAGTGTGTTACATATTGGCCCATTGTCATGTTCTTCCATTCCAATATTTTGTACAATTGGTAAAATACCCTTCGGTTGCTCAAACTAAATGTTCAATCCTCTTCCCCTACCAAGGCATCACCTTCCTGTCTGGTGGCCAGAGTGAGGAGGAAGCCTCTGTCAACCTGAACTCCATGAACCAGTGCCCTTTGCACAGGCCCTGGGCCCTGACCTTCTCATATGGCCGAGCCCTCCAGGCCTCTGCTCTTAAAGCCTGGGGTGGCAAGAAAGAAAACGGAAAAGCATGCCAGGAGGAGTTCATCAAGAGAGCACTGGTAAAAATAGGATCACAAATATATTTGAAAAGCTTCTGCATTGTTCCTATGGCATTGTTCCGTAAATAATACTGTTATCTTCTGCCACCTACAGGCTAACAACCAGGCCTGCCAGGGTAAATATGTTTCCTCTGGAGCCAGTGCTGCTGGTGGAGAGTCTCTGTTTGTTGAAAACCACGCCTATTGAGCACAGACAACCATATTTCCTTCACTTGCTTCCTTCAAATATGATCAGCATGGAACATGTCATCTTTGCCACAGTCTCTATAATCATCACGCTGCAACTGAAAAATGACATGTTGACAAAATGTCCACAGGAGCTAAAGCTGTGTCTTTCTTTTGGGCTATTGCTTGGATTAGGAGACTCTGGAAAAATGTTCTGCCTCCATTCCCATACCCTTTTGGTAAACACGTTTGGGTGAAGAGTCCCGCAATGTTTTTACACAATTTGTACTATTCTTTTCTCGGTCGACTTTCATCAAGTGTAGTATGCAATTTATACTAATACTATGAAATAAAGCCTTTACCCTCATATGTTGTCCTTTAGATTTGTATTAATCATACAATGAATTATAAACTGAAAATCACAGGATCAGAAACAACTAAAACAATTAAAATATTTTAGGTACTTAGCACAGGTATTCGAACATTTTTTAATTTACCTGCATCTACATTGTTGTTATTGTTTTAGGCCCCTATTGTTGCATTAAAAAAAGAGAAAAATCCATTATTGTTATTTGTTGTAAAGGTAAAGACACCTTCAAAAGACAAGGACCCTCGATTGTCTGATGAGCAAAAAACAAACAAAAAACAATATTAAAAGTACATACATACATTACAAAGTAAAAAACAAATGAATTATCAAGGAATAATATCCTGCTGACCATAATGTTCAAACGATTTCTATGATATTAAGAAACACGTTTAATATAATTTAACCTAGTGAAAGTGTTGATGTTACAAATACATTACGACATGTGCAAACCAATAAATACTGTAACCAATAATAAATACATTTCTTGCATTTAATTTCAGTGTTTTTGTTCATCCTTTTTTGCCAGTGCATTTTCGACGTCATCAGTTGAGCGTGACGTAGGGCTTTGTAAATACTGTATTCACTAGCTTCTGCTCACCTGAGTTCGCCATCTTGTGGAAAACGCTGTTTTGACTTTCGTTTGGATTTTTTTAACCAATATTTGTCGTGCTAGCAGGGGCTAACTACAGGCGCCACGAATTTCCCAAATTTAATATTCCTCGCATTAGCGGAAGTTCGCTACAACAATGCAGTTGCGGCAAGGGGTTGTTTGTTATTAAGGTTTTTAACAAGGGGGCGGAAATGAACGAAACAAAGGAGGGAAGCACACAACCTGTAGACCGACAGCCCCATGTGGGGACTTGCACCACCGGAATATGGAAACCAAACCATAAAAAATAGGTAAGTACACAATGGAATTTTGTTTCAGTTAACGCAGATAACTATGTTTTTTCCCGCTTTTAATTTTTTCTCAGTAGCGGGTTCGTTTACAGTGTAGCAAAGTAAAATACTTGAGTCAAAATATATTTAATTAAAAAAAATAAACTATTCCCGAAACTACTTACAGAATTACAAATTACTCACAAAACTACTCAAATATAATAACATGAGTAAATCTAATATGGTACTGTCCACCGAATAACAATGACTGAAAACTAAAATCAGTGAGCTGTGGCCTCCTGAAAAGCTGCCCTTCCCAACTAGCCTGCAGTGAAACACTATCAGACTCAGCACAAAACGTGCAATTGGAATTAGAAAAGGGTTTTTATTTTATGTTTTTGACACCGTAAACAGATGGAACAATGTTTAATATGAAATAAATCACAAAATTAAACAAAAATGTGTGAACCAAGTGCTTTCTGTTGAGCTGACAGACAGTTAAGCCAGTGGAAGGGCCATGTCATTACATTATGTGACACTTTCGCAGTGTTTTATGGGTAATTGGTGGTTATTTTATTTCAATTTTAAATTACAGTATGAGAGAAGACGAGCAACAAAACGTACGTCGGCAAACTGGCCACAGATACCAGTCACAGGCCACAGACTTCAGTCGTCTGTCCTGAGAATTCCCACAACAGCACTCGCACCAACTGACGCACAAACAGGTAACCACATTTCCCTTGAATTTTGAGGGTTGATGTAGTCCATTTTATTCATATTAATTCATAAAAACATTCTACATTCCACCTCATTGTGGCCTGTGAGCAAAAAGGTTTGTCCACCCCTGGCCAATGACTTGAGTTATGTAACAAACTACATACCACTATTCTGATTATTATTATGATTAATTCAAACACACTTATCCCCAATACCACAGTTTTTCTGTGTTTACTCTAAGAAATGCTGAACTTAAGTAGGTAATCAGGATCAATTAGGTATGCCACTCCTAAAAAGTCAGACAACCACACATGCGGAGTAATTAAAACAACTTGTGCTTTAGACAGGCCAATGGTTATGTCTGTTTTTGATGCTAAGAGTATTTATAGTCTGTCTTTAATTAGGGTAATGATCAAGTCTGCTGATAAATGTTTGTTTTTGTCATGTGCTCAGTTACTATGTTTTTATAAACATTAATTGTGTGTCCCCTTTGTAGATGTTCTGCAGTGTCACAATACACTAAGTCCTCACCTGCTAGACATTTTGCCTACAAAAATGGAGTGTATTCAATATTAATTGTATGACATTATTCTGATTAATATATTTTCAATGAAAACCTGGAACCTTTTTAGAACCAAAAAAGCCACGTATTTTAAAACGTATTTCCGTGAGAGCCATACAATAGTAAAGTAAGTCTCTGAAGTAATAATAAAAGATATTAAAGTTATTAAAAAAATTAATTACGTTGTTATACTATCCAATGCATAATACACTTCTTACCATTAATGTGACTTCTGATGCTGCATGGTTTTGATGCAATTGGTTTTTATTTATTATTTATTTCATTATTTGTTTCTTATTGTGTTAAGAAATGCCAGCCAAGATTTATCTGAGAGCCAGATGCAGTCATCAAGAGAGCTATCTCTGGCTCATGAGCCATAGGTTCCTGTAACCAGAAACCAATTACAGGATACTTACTTAGACTTATAAAGTTCATTAACTAAGCCAAACATTCACTTACATTAATCACAGCCATTAAGCATAAACACCTGGTAAATCACTCCTGATGCTTTTTGTTTTTCTAAAATGATTAAAATATATTTATAATAAAAAAATAATACAAATTTAAATGACATCACTTGGATGCTTTGGTAACTGATGCCAACCCATTCAGAAATCAGTCAGAGGTTTTAAATAGGTACAATATGTAAGACAGCACTCCCTATCACCATCGGTAAAACACAAAATGGAAGTACTTTAAATCCATACGCGTTCATGAGATGAAAAACAAAGCCAAGCTTTTTAAACCAGAGCTTCACACAAATGTGAAAAAAATGTGCTAATGTGCTACTGTGTTGCAAAAACATTGTCACTGAAAAGACAATGAACGAAAACCCATTAGTTATGGGTGGTGCTGGTCATGTTGTTGTATCTGCTGTAGTGGTTGTTGTAGCTGTTGTAGTGGTAGTTGTTGTCATTATTGTTGTTGTTGGTGTAGCTGTGGTGGTTGAATTTGCAGGACACATAAAGCTACTGTGTTCATCAGCCCCAGTGGCGACAAAGGGCAGAATACTAAAATTAATTTTTTTGTCAGACGTTAGTTGTCTCATATGTCTGAATATTTCTGCTGTGGCCTATGTATTATTAGGAAAATGACATTCAAATGACACACAGCAGTTTTCTGTATGAAACTACTAATTTAAATACTCTGTGTATGTATTTATTTAAGTCTCTTTGCTGACATGTTGCAGTAGTGATGTACCAATGTCAAACTTGCACTTTTCTTCACAAAGCACTGCTGGAAGTGTGCGTTACAGCATCACAGTTGTTATAAAAGAAACTACCGTTTGTAAAAGACGAGGTGCAATACTTATAATACAATATAAATATATGATATTTGCTCTGAGCTAAGAGCACGATTACGATGAGTTTGGCTAATGAAATGTGGGCTGATAGTCGAATTCAGTTATATAATAGATTGCGAAGAAAAACGGAAACAACGGAAATATCTAGTCTCAGGATTCTTTCCTGGCATCAATTTCTTCTAAGCAACTGAGCTGCGATGTCCACAGGCTCCTCAACAAATGGCCACGCACTGAATATGATTACGTACTGACTCCTTAACTCAGACTTAAAGACCTTAAAACTGCTACGAATCTTCATGGAATGACTCCCATATTAGTAAACAAAAAACTGCTACGACTTTTCATGGAATGACTCCCATATTAGTAAATACTGTATTGGATCCCAAGTAGTGCAGTAAATACACTTTTATTCACACTGACTTTTAACTTGGGATTCGATACCTAGTTTGTTCTCTAGTGGTTCTGCGTCAAGGCCCTTAAAGGTGACGCAGATTAAAGGGTAAAACTATGCACCAAAAACTTAGTGGTAGAATTGGAACAATTGAGCAGAGGTAGGAAAATTATGTGTGTTCTGATTACACTGTCTTTGATGATAGTAGTTCCATGAACTATTTCTACGTTCCATGAACTATTTCTACGATTTACTATTTACACGATTTGAACAGGAAGGTCTTTATTAAGAGTATTTTCCCCAGATGTTTAAATTAAGTTGAATTAAAGTTGATTAAAGTTGCAGTGATATCTAACCAGATATTTATAATTATCCAGAATCATCTCATAGCTAATCTATTTAAAATATAATTTAAAAAGAAAACAATTATATAAAAAAAGCCCATCACCTGATTAAGAGTTAAAGAATGGTTTGATGATGTGTCATGTGATTTTGGTAAAACAGCACTGTAAACCAGATATTGATGTAGTTGATTTGAACAAGAAGGTCTTTATTAAGAGTATTTTCCCCAGATGTTTAAAATAAGTTGAAATTAAAGTTGCAGTGATATCTAACCAGATATTTATCTAATCTAAGCTAATCTATCTAAAATATTATTAAAAATGAAAACAATTATAAAAAAAAAGCCCATCACCTGATTAACAGCCAAAGAATGGTTTGATGATTTGTCATGTGATTTTGGTAAAACAACACTCCCAATGCCATCATTAAAATATAAAATCAAGGACTAATTTTTAAATCAAAATGTGTATGTCAGATAAAGAAAAAAATGGCTATTTAAGCAAAAGCTGCTGAACTGGCTCATTGAAAATTCTACTGAACAACAATGTGCTGGAGCAACATCAACAACGCAGTGATAATGATTGAAAACTCAGTTGTTAAGGCGGATGCTGGGGATGTGGTTGTTGTGGTTGTTGTGGTCATTGTGGTCGTTGTGGTGGTTGCGGTGGTTGTTGTGGTTGATAGGTTAGAGTTCAGAGGTGGTTTTGCTGTGGTGGTTAAATCTGCAGGACACACAAAGCTTAAGTCCGCGTCAGTCCCACTGGAGACAAACGGCACCAAGCCGGTCACGAATCCTTTCATACTCTGTAAGATCCAATCCTGGAATTGAGAAACTCGGGTAAAGGCTTGAGGTAAACCATCAAGGCATGGTGTTGCAATACTTGTGATTCCAGCCAGGATCCACTTATCGTCCTGTTTGCATTGCAGAGGTCCACCACCGTCACCCTGACAAGAGCAGAAAAACAGTTAATTCACATTCATAGTACATTCTTTTTATTTTGTAACATTCATTTGTGAGCTAATAAATGGTATGAGACTGGTATATGACAAAGAAAACTTGACATAAAACAGTATATAAACAGAGCCGTTACCAGACAAATGCCTTTGTCCTTTCCTCCAGCACAGATCATGTTGTCAGTGATGGTGGTCTTAGGTGTTGATTGATAACTGCAACTGCACTTTTTCTTTCCAACAACAGGAATATCGATCTCCTGAAGATTATCAGAAAGTGAAAAATCTGCAGGGAGAAGAAAGCCATGATGTCCAGGTACACCCGATTGACCCTAAAACGTTTTGGCTTGTATGCTTTTACATTTTCATAGCTTTTTCTGTTACGTCAACATTTATTATTATCATCCACCGATTAACTACATTAACGGTAGTTAATCGGTGGATGTTCTTAATTGTAATTGGCATTTCTGACAGTACAATGACCTAGCGCTTTGGCCCAGAGGCAATGTCTCTGTCATTGGTGTGGAACCCCAGGGTTCACCTCCTGCGCAAGTTCGAGGGCGGAGGGCTACCTTCCAGTGGACTCACCACCCGCAGGAATGTTTTGGGGGGTTTGTATGGTGCAGTGTGATTTGGGTGGTGACTGCTGCCCCTACGACCCGGTAACAGATAAGCGGATGAAAATGGATGGATGGATGGATGGATGGACAGTACAATGAGTTTGTAACAGAGCGTAGAGGTCAATACCAACTGTATATGGGCGAGGATGGGGTAGTTGCCAGACCAACACAGGGTATACTGTGTAGTGGTGAACAACCACGCACACTCATATTCCGACCTATGGTCAATTTAGTGTCGGATCAACCTAATCCCCTAATCATTAGGGCCACGCCCATTAGGGCCTGAAGGAAGCCAGAATAGCTGCAGAGAAACAAAGGCACATGCAAACTCCATACAGAAAGATCAACTAGAACCTTGTTCTAGTTCTACCACCGTGTGGCCAGACTAAAAAAAAGTGAAACATTAAAATTCAATGATATTAATGGACTTGCTCTACACTTTATAATTTCATTAAAACACTGTTCATACAGATTTGTTTGATTTAAAAAAATGGTTATTGCAGGTTTAATTCTCACATTTAATGTTAGGCTCGCTCAGTGGTTCTCAAACTATGCTGGTACACGAGTTCTCTCTTGTGGTACGTGGGGAAAATTCATATTTTCACATTTACATTTTCAATTGAATAAATCTGAAACATACCATGCACAATTAATAAAACATTAAAACATAAACATCTTTATAAACATTTGTAAACATCTCTCCTGTGTGGTGGAAGCTAATAGGGAAGGCCTATGCTGCTATAGTGTATATATATAGTATAAAAAGTCGGAGAACCACTGAGCTAGCTCATCCTTTGTGATGCTGGTTGTGTCCCTGAGTGGACAGCTCCTATTGCCTTACACAGGTTACTGTATTTTCCAGACTATAAGTTGCACTTTTCTTCATCCTTTGGCTGGGTTTGCAACTTATACTCAGGTGACCTATATATTAAAATATATAATTTTACGTATTTTTTCACTGACAGCTGCGAAAGGGCACACTAGGCTTGTGTACCAGTATCTGCTACTCCTGTACCACTAAAAATTATCATGTTTGTTATTTTCACACTGACAGAGACTAGAGGGCACTGGTGAGACTCTGGAGTGACTTGTATATGTTTTTTTAATGTAAATTAACAATTGTAGGACGGAATAGTCATTATAAAAAGTCATTATTCTCACCATTGTTGTTGACTTTTCCCCAACCAGTGGCCCAGCAAAGGGTGGATGTGAAAAACTGGCTGTTGGTGGTAGGCAGGCAGATAGGCTGGATATGATTATTGACTACAATAGAGGTTTGCAGCTTTAAAAGGGCAATGTCTTTGTCATGAGTTGTGGCGTTGTACTCAGGGTGGATAATAATCTCCGTAAGGGCTGTTTTCGTCTCAGTGGCACTGACGGCACCATGGGCCAGTCTTCCAAAAATAATATTTATATCAGCAGCCAACCTCCTGCATTTGTAAAAAAAATAAGTAAACAAAGAGATCAGCAGAGACATTATTTAGTGGCAGTTTCTCTTTTTTTTGACATCATTTAAATATATGTCTTCATAACTAAATTATTTTCATGAGAAAAGGGCAGTTAATTGGAGGGCAACTAAACTGTGTTAGTTTTTTTTTTAAATGTAGCATCATTATTATCTGTATACATACATATATATAAATGAAAAACGTAAGAAATGGATAAGAATAAGTCTCAACAAATACGTAAAAATAATTCATCATTGCGATAGTGATTGTGTTATGTCGGTTAGGAATATTTGTGTTACCCTTTGACGCAGTGGGCTGCTGTGAGAGCCCACTCAGTGTTAAGAAGAGTTCCTGCACAGAAATGACGTTTGTCAGCCAACGTTTGAATTGTTCCCTGCCAGGGCCATGCTCCATCAACAGCATTCTCACCACCCACTATCTTTGTATTTAGAGGTGCCGTTCCGCATACTGGAAGAGAACACACCATTATGTCACTTAGGGGTATAACGGTTCTTTTTAACCCTTGTAAGGTCCTTCAATATGTCTTTGTGTATGCGTGTGTGCGTGAGTATGTTCCTGTACTGCATAACTTGTGCCAAGTCTGTTCCTGTACTGCATAACTTGTACCAACTTTTCCTCATATTCATTAATACTCATATTCTGGGACAAGATGAAAATCATTACAAGGACAAATGGTGTGTACAAAAATGCAATGGACCGCACAAGGGTTAAGTCTCTGAATGTTCTGTTGTTGAGGTCAGTTCATCCAAGAAAGTTTAGAAGGGGTCTACCTAGGTTCAGTTGCCTACAGGAAGTGAAGTTATTGTGAAATATCAACAACTCCAGCTTTGTAAATAATTAAATCTTTTGATGGCCGGTGCAGGGGTGTCAAACTCATGTTGGTTCAAGGGCCGAAAACAACCTAATTAGATGTCAGGTTGATCAGTGCAATCACAACATGATTACCTATAAATAACAAAAAGTCCCCTTTGTTTTCATGCAAAAAAGTACGTCAGATAAATCCCAAGAGGGCCAGACATAAACCCCAGGCAGGCAGGTTTTGGCCTGTGGGCTGTATGTTTGATACCCCTAGGCTAGTGGTTCAATATTCTGCAGTTTTTTTTGACTAATCCAAAATATTTGAATTAATAATATGGAACAAGGTCAAGAAGAAGAAGAAAAACATTTTTGATACATTTTCAGTCCCAAGTATGTTACAGTGTAATGTACATACTTCTACCCCGCTACCTTGTTTATACTACTGATATTAGCAAGCTTTTATAGCTTTTATTGTCCCTTTAAATATAAATGCAAATCATCCTTCAATAATTAAATCCGCTTTGTCAAAGAAGAAGAAGTAGAATGTGTGGCAGAACTCACCCTGAGCTTCTGAGCCTATAAGAAAAAAGAAAAGATAATGTTACACAATCCTGTTTGAGCATTGATGTTTATGTGTTTTAATTCAGGATTTGACTCATTTCAAAGTTAAAAGTGGTTGAAACTAAACTTGTCTAAAAATCTGTTAAAATTATTGTAGTGTCACAACAATCAAACATACAGGAAGTAATTTAAGTATTTATTAAAAAAATTCAAAAATAAAATCTTACCTCTACCAAAGAGGACTGTACACAGGCAAAGGATAAGGATGCTGGTTGCCATGTTACTCCGTCACTTGTTGTAAATAGAAGTGCTTGACACACAGTACTGATGTTCCCCATATATATACTCCACAACCACTCCCCATCTATTCAATACATTATATTTCTGTTGATAATCGTTCTAGCAAGACATTGTTTTGTCATACAACATTCTATTCAAACCTGTAGCTTGTGGTTTCTAGTCACTAGACTAGAAACCACATCTATAGGCGTTATAGTCACTGTCTGACCTACCTAGCTATTTGTTCTTGAGAACTATTTTTCTGTATTATAGGATCCTTTAGGTCTGAGGTTATCTCGGAGTGTTTGGTGAAACGAGCATAGAAGATGTTGAGTTGAAGATTTTTCTTTTGGCATAAGACATGACACTTAAATAGGAATAGGAAATAATTCATTCTAAACCCTTGCTTTTGGCAATTATTTTTAGATACTTCAATTGTTATATTTGTTTAACCTCACCTGATCTTAATTTTGCCATATGGACTTATTTCTGTTAAACAGTTATTAACAGTTAATTTACTCAACCTACTTCCATATATGCATGTTTTTGTAGAGAACCTGATCTGTCTGAATTATTGTATGTAGAAAAAACATATTGCAATTGTTAATGTGATATCTAGCTAACATTTACACTGCTGTTCTTGTCATTTTAATGCAATGGTTGTCATTGCCCATTATTAACTATTATTTAATAATTGCTAATAACTGTGTTGGCTGCCTCAGATAATCTGGTTTTATGTGTATATATATATATATATATATATATAT